CATGGACTATAGCACACGAAAATCAGTAAATTTGGATTTTCCTGTTTTGGGCTAGTTTGAACTTGAAAATGCACATGTGTGCCCCTCGAGACCAACTGGTGCCATTAATAAGGCCGTAATGAGCGTCCATAAAAAATTTTGGCACAAAAATTATGTAATCCTATCACCTAAAATACATGTACTATAGTACACGAAAATCAGAAAAGTTTGGGTTTACATGCTTTGGGGATCATTTGAACTTGAAAATATGCTCGTTTGATCCTCGGGACCAACTGACGTCATTAATAAGGTCGTTACGGACGTCCATGAAAAATTTGGACAAAATTTTTTTCGAAATCCTGTATCACAAAAAATTTGTGGACCATGCACATGAAAATCAATAAAATCTTGTTTTTCTTGTTTTAAGACTCGTTTGAACTTGAAAATATGCATGTAAGTCCCTTGGGACCAACTGATGCCATAAGTAAGATCGTACCGGAAGTCCATGAAAAAATTCGGTAAAAAAATTTCAGAATATTGTATCACCGAAAATCCATGGCACACGAAATCAGTAAAATTTGGTTTTTCTTGGTTAGGGGCTCGTTTGAACTTGAAAATGTGTCTGTTTACCCCTTGGTACCAAATGGCTCTATTAATAAGGTCGTAACGGACGTCCGTGAAAATTTTTAGCAAAAATATTCTGGAATCCTATCACAAAAATTCATGGAATATAGCACACGAAAATTGATAAAATCGGAGTTTTCCTTCTTTGGGCTCATTTGAACTTTGAAATGCGTCTGTCTTCCCCTCAGAACTAACTGACGCCATTAATAATGTCGTAATGGACGTCCATCAAAAATTTCGGTTGAAATCCTATATCACTAAAAATTCATGGACTAAAGCACATGAAAATCGGTAAAATCTAATTTTTCTTGCTTTGAGAATCGTTTGAACTTGAAAATTCCCCCGTCCCCCCCTTCCGGACCAACTAGCACTATTAATAAGGTCTTAACGGACGTCTGTTAAAAATTTCGGCAATTTTTTTTTGAAATGCTATCAGCAAAATCCCATGGACTATAGCACACGAAAATTCATAAAATATTGGTTTTCCTAATTTGGGGCTCATTTGAACTTGAAAATATGTCTGTTTGCCCCTTGGGACCAACTGATGTCATTAATTAGGTCGTAAAGGATGTCCTTGAAAAAAATCGTCAAATAAAATTCTGAATCCCTTATCACCAAAAATCAATGGACTATAGAACACAAAAATCGATAGAATCTGGTTTTTCTTGCTTTAGGGCTGGTTTGAACTTGAAAATGTGCTTGTTTGACCATCGAGACAAACTAGCGCCATTAATAAGGTCGTAACGACATCCATGAAAAAATTTTGACAAAAAAATTTTTGGAATACTATCACAAAAAATCCATGGACTATAGGACACGAAAATCGATAAAATATAGATTTTTCATTTTTAGGGCTCGTTTGAACTTGAAAATGCGTCTATTTACCTTTCAGAACCAATTGACGCCATTAATAATGTCGTAATAGACGTCCATGAAAAATTTTGGAAAAAAAAATCTGAAATCAGGTATCATCAAGAATCCATGGACTATAGCACACGAAAATTGTTAAATCTAATTTTTCTTGCTTTGGGGCTCATTTGAACTATAAAATGCGCTTGTTTGCCCCTTGGGACCAACCAGCGCCATTACTAAGGTCCTAACAGACGTCTACAAAAAATTTTGGCAAAAAAAATTCGAAATCACATCACCAGCACACGAAAATCAGTAAAATCTAAGTTTTCCTGCTTTGGGGTTCGTTTGAACTTGAAAAAGCACCTGTTTGCCCTTGCGGGACTTACTAATGCCATTAATAATGTCGTAACAGAGTCTATGAAATTTTTTGGCAAAAAAGTTCCGGAATCATGTATCACAAAAAATCCATGAACTATAGCACACAAAAATCGGTAAAATCTGGGTTTTCCTACTTTGGGGCTCGTTTGACCTTGAAATTACGCCCATTTGCCCCTCGTGACAAACTAACACCATTAATAAGGTCGTAATAGACGTCCATGAAAAATTTCGACAATAAAATTCTGGAATCTTGTATCACCAAAATTTCATGGACTATAGCACTTAAAAATCGATAAAATATGTTTAAAAGCGCTTTGGGGCTCATTTGAACTTGAAAATTTTCCTATTTTCCCCTCGGGACCAACTGGCGTCATTAATAAGAACATAACGGACGTCAATTAAAGAGGCTTATGACCCCACAATTCTACCTCAGATTTTTCTTTTTTTTTATACCCTAACCTTAGAATATAAATGAAAAAAAAACTAAGTGGATATTCTCTACAATCGACATAGTTTTAAAAGTGGGTAGTAGTCTAAATTCTCAAGTAAGTTTTATGTATACCTCTTCGAGCTTATTTGTGTATTATGTGGAATTTTTTATATCAATAAATGGTATCAGATCATTGATCGATCATTGAAAATATAAAAACAAAAAATAAAAACTCATTGAAGACATTTCTGTGGGTCATAGTACTGGATAAAAGAGAAACTATCAACAAATTACAAGAAGCAAAAGTAATTATAAATCAAAATAATTTTTGATGAAGTTGAGAACATACTTATTAGATCTGAATTCTTTTGTAGTAGTAACAGCTTCTTGAAGCTCATGATTCATCTTAGGAGAATGATATAATAGTAAAATTCATCAATTATTGTCACTAGGTACAAGAAATGGAGGGAATAACATGCTTAACTCGGACTAGTCGTCTGAATATAATGATGTAGAGTTGAAGAAGTTTTCATAGAGGTTGATATCACAACGTTTATAAGATGTATAAGTGTCTATGTGAAATTCACTCGAGCTCTATGTTTTTCTACAAAGATTTCCTTGAGGCAAACCTACTAGAACCTAAGTCCATTTCAACCACGGATGGTGGAGCTACGTCAAAGAGGAAAATGAATCGATAGGTTCTCTTGAGGCTTCTAGGCTCTTTCTGTTTCTAGTCTTAGCTGAATATACGAGTGATGACACATTAATTATATTTTATAACTCCTAAAAAAATTCTAATAAAAAATATGTGCACGGAAAGAATTGTTATGTTTAGATCGTAAAAATATAATGTCAAACAGGGCTATACGCGCTGCAACGCACGTGCTCGAAGACTAGTGACTAAGAAGCATTATGTTTGTTAAGTTTTGAACTACAATATATTTGATGTGAGATTGAATGCGTGTTGGTGCAGCTTTGGTTGAAATTTTATTTATTAGGTGCAGTTTTTTTGCCATTTTGCTTGCATTTTGGTCATCTAACTTTTGCAGTTTTGGTGAGTTTCTTTCGCTAGTTTTCTGCAGCATTTGACCCCTTTTTTGCGGCATTTTTTCGCCTTCTAATTGTTGTATCTTTGGCCATTTGTTTGCTAGTTTTCTATTGTATTTTGGCCATCAAAAGCTGCTGCATTTTTGGCCAATTTTCTGCTGCACTTTTTGCCATCTAGCTGCTGTATTTTTTTGCCAGAGCTGAATTCCTTTTATAATTGATACACATTTTGAAAAAAGAAAATAAAGATCCAATGATTTTAAATAACCTTACATGCGTATCGTATAAGAGATATTAGACAGTAGTCCCTAAATGTAAATATATGTGTTTGGATCGTGAAAGTGTATAAAGTGAAAGATTTTCAAACTTCAAGAGAAAAGTTGTGTTTGGATTACAAAAGATATCGTGCAATTCAACTAGATCGAGTAGATTATCGAACTTGACCATATTTCATTTCCCTAAAGTGTAAATTCAGTCCTAATTCAGGTACACTCTTATTGGTTTGTTATGCTAATATTGCCTAAGAGAGTAATTAAGAGAATAACCATAATTTGTCATAATTTTCTATGGACTGGACTTGCTGTGTAGGCCAAAGAAAGAAAAAGGTTTGGAGATTATAGTAGGGATAACATGGAATGAGTCAGCTGTGGCAAAGTACTTCTGGCGTTGCAAACAAAGTAGATACTATGTGGGTGAATTGGGTGAATCATGTGTATCTGAAAGATACAGGTTATCATCCAAATAATGGATAGACGGAAAACGATAAAGTTTATCCAAATATTGTATTTATTAAAACAATATAGTATGATACAATATAACACAATACAATAAAATACAACAAAACATAACAACCATCCAAACAAAGTGTAGGGTATTGCTTCTCACAAATAACAATACTTTACATCGTCTTCATTGGTTGTCTCTTTTATGTATGTATCTCCTTCATCTGCTTTTGGTTCTTCATTTAATCTTTGCCTCTTGCTCGAATATATTTATTTTTTGTGCATCTTCCCTATATTTTCGTACTAGATAGGGACGGCCTGTGCCAGCAGGGGCCAATATGGACTAGTCATGAAAAGTAATCTTGTACATGACGAAATTCCAGAAAGCATATTTGCTATGTAATTACACACAGATAGCAACATGATGTTAATAGAAAATAGACGCAATAGTACTGGTGAAGGCATTTTCTTTCCATTCTTAAGATGGAAAACTTTGAACCAAAACTATACTAAATTACTAATTCTTATCAGAAAAATAGTGTATGACATTTTGAACAGACAAATGCTCAGATAAAATCCCAACAGAGCTAAGTCAAAAAGTCATGTAGCTAAGGAAAAAAAATGTCCTAACTACAGCTGATAAACTCATCAATATATCATCTGTTTACTATCAAGAAATACAGCACAAGCAATATCAACTTGTCGTCACACAAATACACTGATTACTCTAAAGGTTGTTTCTTTGAATCAAAACTTGTTACATATTCTATACTCTATTGATATAAACAATGAAGAATCAGAAGGTAGATACACATAGCAAATGGAAATTTTATTTACAGATTTATCCCCAAAGTTAACATAAGAATGACCGGTTGTTTGCCCTTGTTCATCCTACACAACTCCCATCTAAATTTGAGCGAACTGAATTTGGTTTTTTTTGGTTCTTTGGAGGCCCTTATTTTTGGGGCCTAAAGCCACTGAAGTTGAGCCGCCATTGTTTCTTTCTCACTTGAAGTTGATCCTTCAAAAACCCCATTCCCATAATTCACCATCTTCAAGAATTCAATTCTTCTCTCCACTGCCTCTAATTTCAAATTCAATTTCACCAACAAACTTTCGTTCGACCCTCTAAACACGTCATTAAGCCACTGATCTTCACCATCATCGCAAAACAGAGAATAATTCTTTTTCGACTTTTTGTTGAAACACCCATCATCATCAATTCGTTTTCTCTTGCCGTGAAAGAGATTTTCTTTGTAGGATTGAATAATGGGGTTGAAATCAGTGGGATTTTCAGGCCATGTATCGACTTCTCGATTAGGATCAACAAGAATGACACAAGCTTTAATGTCACAGAGGATTGAAAGCTCTCTAGTCTTTTTCTTGATGGTCTCCTTTTTCTTCTTGTAATTTAGCATGTTGCCCTTCGTCTTCTTCTCCATTGTGTGCCAAGAAGAAAGAAAAGAGACTAAGCTCCACAACAATGAATCCCTCTCCTCTATCTATAGGAAAACAGAGTAACGCGTCAATGGAAAGCAGAGTAACGCGTCAAAATAGGATTTATGTTAGGGTTTTGGTTTTTGTTTGGGTCGGGTTGGTTAAAAATTAACAAACCAGTTTTAAAAAAGAGAAAATTGTGTGTATAAGTAAATATATACTAGTTAATTACTTAACATAGCTATAGTTTGTCTTAATTATAATTCGCGACCTACTTTTAGCTATAATTATGCGTCTCAACTTTTTAGTTTTGTATAATTCACAGGTTTGTATAATTCGAAATTTATATAATATAATTCGGGAAAAGACACAAGTACCCCCTAGACTATGACCGAAATCCCAAGACACACCTTAACTAAATTAAGGTCCTATTACCCCTCTGAACTTATTTTTTTTTATAATTTTGTACGCCTTTTGTCTTACTTGGCACACTCCTTGACTCCACGCAATTAAGGCGCGTGAGAGATATTTGGATGCCACGTAAGCTAAAAAGGTGCACAAAATTACAAAAAAAAAAAATGGGTTCGGGGGGGTAATAGGACCTTAGTTTAGTTAAGGTGTATCTCTGGAATTTCGATCATAGTCTAGGGGGGTACTTGTACATTTTCCCTTAACTTTTGTATAATTTGAAATTTGTATAATATAATTTGTATAACTGTTTACACTTCTGATGTTTGTGATTGTATAAATTCGTTATTTCAAGTTTATACAAAAATAACTGAATTATACAAATGTACCAGCGAATTATACAAACGAGACAGCTTAAATTGTAACTACAACCCGTAAATATGTAAACTATAACTATGGAGCATAATTAAGATTATTGTGTGGATGTTTGCAAAAGTTCCTCTTTAAAAAATGATGTGGCTTTTCTTAATTTAAAAAGGGATAAGGGTCTGAAAAATACTTCAACTTTGGCAGAAATTGTTATTGCGATACCAAACTTCAAAAAGGACCTTTTACCCCCCTGTACTATTTCATAGTACATTTTACCCCCTGTACTATTTAATAGTGTATTTTAAAGGTATATATGTGTCTACGTGGACATCATAAATATTGCATCATTTTAAATAATAATGTGTCCACGTGGGCACATATATACTTTTAAAATAAACTATTAAATAGTGCAGGGAGTAAAAGGTTCTCCATAAAATTTGGTATCGTAATAACAATTTTAGTCAAAGTTGAAGTATTTTTCAGACCTTTTTCCCATTTAAAAATACAAATAAATATTTTTTTTAATTCAAATAGATATATGTTTGCACCATTTCATAGACTAAAGGAATATGCTTATTAGGGGTAGGCACAAGTACCGAAAAATTAAAATATCGAATCGAATCAATTTTTTTATATTTTGGTTTTTAGTATGTGTTTTCGTATTTTTGATATTTCTGTTTGACTGAAATATACACACTAATATATATAGTATATACTATATTACATATTAGGTAATTATTAATATTATAATATTTAAATGTTATATCAATTTGCCTTTAAAGTTTTATTTCATTTTTCCCCCTTAGCAAATACCAAGTTAGCAATTAGCATTAGGTTTTCAACTTTTCATTTTTGTTTTTCCAATTTCCGCCGCACCTTCTGGCTTCTGCTTCTCTTCCAAATTCAAATTCCAACTTTCCAAGTTAGCCTCAACCATCGTCGTGACCAGGGAAACAATTAGCGACCAGCGATTGCAACTGCTGCGATTTCAAGTTTTCAACTTTTAGTTCCATGTATTCGATTGTTTATTTGATTATTTTCTGTTTTTCTTCTTCCATGTTCTTTCTTTTTTTGTCTAATTTTCAATGAACAAATTAAGTGTGTAAAATCGAATTTAATAAATCGAATCGAATTAATTCAATTCGGTATTCGATACAACACAAGTTCAATAACCAAAAACGGAAAAAATCAAAATAAAAGAGCCCAAACCGAACCAAATTACCAATGCCTAGCCCTAATTGTTTATCCCATTTTTTGAACATAAGGTAGATTCCATTAAAGTTGAGGAATAATTTATTCCACTTTTTGATCAAAAGGTATATTCCCTTAAAGTTGAGGAATATATTTACAAGTGTTGTCTATATATAACTTCTTTTTTTCTTTAATTTTTTTTTCCCATTTTTATCTTTGATTTTGTTTTTTTTCATAAAGAATAAAAAAACTAGACTTTGTAAATCTTTGACCAATCTATTTATCACAAATATTATTTCATCTCTACATTAGGATTTGTCTCTCCTTACCTATATATAAACAGCAGCAAACAAGACATGAAATATCACAAATTTATCTTCTTCTCCGTTAGCTTATTTTCTAGTAATATTAAAGTTTTAGAAAGAAAAAAAAGTGTGAAATAGAGGTTGCCTTATCAAGTGTTCTTCATATTCTTGTGCAACTCTAGGAAATAGCACTAGGGACACTCTCATTGATACCAGTCTAGATCGATAAGTATTCTTTTATTATTTTACTTTATTATTTTGTTAGAATATTTAATATAGGTTATACGCTTATGATTTTGGCCAATCCCTCCTTTCTTATGAGTTAGTTTTAGAATCTAAGCTCAATTTTTTAAAATATGAAATCACTGATTTTATCGATGCATGAGTTACATAAAAAAAACACGCTAAAGTCCATTTTCTGTGCAATTTGTAGATGCTCAAATTCTTTGTTGGATTACTAATTTGATATTTCATATTTTGTGTGTACACGTTTACAAATAATACATTTCTTAATATATATGTTTTATTGAGCTCATTTTAAGAGTAACTCAATAAAATCGATGAGTACTAGACCACAGTTTGAGTGCAACATGAATCATAATTCTTAGAACACATTTTACATGTGACTTAATTAGTCCAATTTTAAAGTGACATTTCTTGATTAATCACTAATAATAATTGTCTTGTTGTAGTCATATCCAGAAGTGGCTAATTTTGTGAGGTCAAAGCGACACAAACGGGTAAAGGATGCAAGAACTTTTGAGAAAAATGGACTTTATATTGAGTTTAATACATCTCCAAATAACCCAATCACGATTATTTGGAGATGTAATAAATTCAATATAGGGTTCATCTTTCTTAAAATTTCTTGATCTCCTGCCCATTTGTGTAGCCTTGACCTCACAAAATCAGTCATTTCTGGATATGATTACAATAAGAAAATTATTATTAGTTAATCAAAAAAATTCAGAGTGTCTTTCAACATAGGCTACTTTGGATTTTGAATTAGTGGTTGATTCTACGAGTCAATTTTATCGTTATTCTTACACTTTTTTCAAATGCAAACTAAATTGAATCCTCCAGATGTCTGTTAAATTAGGTCTTAGGCCTAACTCACACCCCAAAAGCTAGCTCAAAGGAAGGAGGATTGCCCAAGCCTTATAAGGAGTCCACCCATCTCATTAATCACCGATGTGGGACTTTTGTCATTCTTTAACAATGTCACCATACGGAAAATAAATCAAACATATTCTATGCATCTGTAAATGACTCATCACCATTTTGAAGCACCCAACTTTTTTTTTGGTTTTCTATCTGGTGTCTGGTACCCACATTGAAACCTGTTATCTCCTGTATTAAGATTAGCAAACCAGAAATAATAAAAGATGAAAAGAAAAACACAAAGAACTATCCGAGTCCACAGAACCCACTGTGTGTCCTTAAGAAATTTAATCCCCTCAAGTACCCAAGGTTGCAGATTAATTCCTCCAAGATAAAATGGATTAACCATTAAAAAAGTAGCGGTACCTCAAACTTCGATAATTTCAACGAACTCAAAATGACAGCAACGAATCACACACAGAGACACAATCGATCGATTTTGTTTTGTAAGAAATGTATGCAAAAGAAGGGAAGAATTCAATGCCAAAAAATGAGAGAAAACGTCTCTATTTATAGCCAACAAAGGGTAAAGGTCACA